GGGCTCGGTTTGCCTGTTGCAGAGCTAAACCGTGCGCGACTCGGGTAAAGGGCCTTAAATTCACAGCTTCTGGGGTTTCTGTATGAAATCAGAGACAGGAAAAGGAGGAGAAATCATAAATGCTGGTCTGGGTGCTTGAGAGTCAATATTTTTTTTGGAATGCCTGTTCACACTCCTGGTGCTTGCTTGACCTCATCAAGCAGGTCAAGAGGGGATATTTATTAACACTTAAAACCTCGTAGCACAAGTGCTGCTCTGCAGTGTAAACCATTGTGGCAGAACTGGATATCTAGGGTCAGGGTAAAGTGGAATTTTAGTCTGATTCCAGGAAACAAACCTGATTAACCCATCGATTTACTTCCTTGCTGCTGTTTGGCATTCTCACAGTGAACATCTTTCCACCATAGAAAAAGACACCAACGGAGATGCTTTGTGGGTTTGGTGTTATCCGTCTGTAACAGCTGAACTGAGGAGTCTCTTGCTGCGGAAGTGCTGCCTTACAGATGAAAACAAATTGCTTCACACCTTTGTATTTGGCCAGTATAAAAGGTCGTGGTTCTACATCACAACTGTGGAAGTTCAAGATTCTCCAGCCTTGAAAAAGGTAGGACTCGGCCAGTGGGTTTTTCAGTAGAGTGCAGGGAAGGCTTCTGCAGAGCTTCCTCTGGCAGTTTAAATAGTGTTTGCTATGAGGAAGGGAAGGTATTTGGGGTTTTGTGCGCTCACAAATGCAGTTTTTACCCAGCTAACTAGTCCACCTGTTTCAATTTTCACCCAGACATGGATGGAATTGCGGATACTCATTACCCAGTATAGATTCTTTGTATTAAAATGATAATGCTGTTTCATGCCATTGTTTCTAGTTCCTTTGTGATTCAAGTTCAGCAATTTTTTCTTTTTTAAGAAGAAAAACCCAAACAAAAATCTTCTACAAAGGGTCTTTCATACTGTCCAAAAATCTTGTTTGTATAGAACGACATCGGGCGCTTTATTCAAAAGGTTGAGTTATACAGGTACTTTCTTTGCCACTGCATTGATAACTGGAAGACTACAAATATGCTTTTAAGTTCTATACTTTCCCTGTTATGAAGGATCATTAAATTGTTAAGTTTATTCAGTATTCATATTTCATGCTATATTGTTAAGTAGAAGAACAGCACAGTAATTTTGCTTGCCCACAGCACAATGTTGCTTGCCTTTCCTCACTCCAAGCTTACATCTCCTATGAACCTTAAAGATGTAAAAGAACTTAATAAAATAACATGTCCCAGTAGGAGATGCTATTTAAGGAAGACAAATGAGCCTGGTCAGTGTCTGCAGGCTTTTAGCCTCACACTGTCCCAGCCCAGAATCAGTGGATTAAGGAAGTTCAGGGGTGTTCCTGTTCGTGGGCCTGCTGTCCGTGATTTCTTTTTTCCCAGTCTCTTTCTAAATGTGTTGATGCTGTCTGCCTCCACAGCCTCCTTTGGCAACAAATTCAGGAAGTTCCCTGCTTGCTGTGGGGAAGAGAAATGTCTTTCTCTCTTCAAAATAATCTTACGAGATTAAAGGAAAGCAACTCTTAGAGAGCAGATTAAGCAAAAGATCTTATGTACTAGAGCTGACTCAGTGGAAATGAGTCACATCATAAATCCATTAACCAGGCCTTTTCTGCAGTTAGTGACTTGGATCTGGTGCCACTGCTCACTTTTGGGTTTTAATTGAAACGCCTTGGCAGAGTACTGCAGTAAGCTCAAGAATGTGAGAAGGACTGTTCGTATGGGGTCATTAAATAAGCTCTGTGGTTTTATGTGCATGTTTTTTACCCAGGTGACCCACTTCTCCATTGTTCTGACGGCCAAAGACTTCAACCCAGAGAAATATGCAGCCTTCACTAGGATACTGTGTAGGTCTGTATAAAAGCTGTTGTGGGGTACTGCTGTGTGCATGTTGAGGTCTTGCCAAAGCAACAGATTAAATTGCATTGTGTTGGGTTTGCATTTGGTCTAACAATCTGCTGGAAACTCAGTCCTGAACCTAACTATATAAATCCTTGATCTGAGCTTATCTTGAGTTCATGCAGTAAGTGTTGGGTGAATGTCAGATGCCCAATAGGCTTTAATGTGTCTTCTGCAGCCACCCACCACCACCCACCTACTAGTTTTCTCTAAGAACATCCTTTTACAAAGTATAAACTGTTGGGAAGAGGTCACTGTGTAGTCAAAGGTCACCATGTATATGGTGGGCAGCTTGCATCCTTCCACAGCAGCTCTACTGAAGATGTTTCTTGTAGCTCCGCTGACTTCCTGGAGGTCAGACTGCACCCAGAGATGTTTTTGCTTTTCCTCTAGGAAAATGAGAGCTCTCTGCCCCTCAAGGTCTGTGTCTCTGTCTTCTCCCTTCTTCCAACCAGGCTTCCCTCTTCTTCCCTTGTCTCCTTTACTCTCCTCCACGTCCCCATTCGCATGATCTCTCCCTGCATCTTTTCTTTTCCTTCAGTTCCCAGACTAGTTGGGTCCTGGCTCTTGCCTGGGATTTTGCAACTAATTGGATACAGTTGTGAGGTTATTGTATGTATTGGGAATGCTGTCACGCTTACCAGTTCTGTAGGGTGGTTGGTTTTCACTGATACATGAAACACTCAGATTCGTTGTGGATCACATTAATGCTTCTTTTCAAATCCAGGATGGATTCCTCTAAATATGATAACTGAATTTCAAAAGTGACATAGCTTTGTGTTATAGCTAATCAGGAAAACACATAGCTGAGCGCTTCGGTGCTATTCCTGAAATACCTTAACGTGTAAATTAGGTTATGGTGTTTCTCCGCTGTCTGTAAGACAGCTAAAAGCACGTGGGGCTTGTTGGTGTGTGGTTGTTTTGTGTTGGTTTTGTTTTGTTTTAAATTAGTATCAAGGACATGTTTATATTTTTCTTTCATCATTTAACAAAGAGCACAGAAGAATGTCTAATGATAAAAATGGGAAGAATATAAAACTTAACTGGTCACATGGTGTGCATGTAGTAACAGGAGTTAGTGTGGTAGTTGCTTTTTCATGAAGCAGGAACATTCCAAGTCTGCAAAGAATCCTTAGTCTGGACACCTGCTTACTCCTTTGTCCTATTTCTATGTTGGTAGATGTTGGTTCTTCTACCAAACAGAAACTCAAATCAAAATACAGGGAAGTTTTTTGTCCTAAAACACAGATGTGGTTTTGGGTGCATGTTGTAAGACTTCTAGTTTCGTATTTAAAACCTCAACGGGTGTCCAGAGTAAGAATTCTTGGCAATAACATTGTTATTTGTAATACTGTGGTTTGATTTTTGTATTCATATATCTGCTGGTGCTGGTTGCAGTCAGAACACCAGACTCTCTTCTTTTCACACAGAATCTACTTGAAGCACGGAAGTCCAGTTAAGATGATGGAGAGTTACATTGCAGTCCTTACAAAGGGCATCTGCCAAAGTGAGGAAAATGGCTCTTTCCTCAGCAAGGATTTTGATGCTCGGAAGGCTTATCTTGCTGGTTCCATCAAAGGTTAATTGATACCCAAAGTCTCTCTTCTGATTTCTTTTGTACAGTGTAAAACACAATCCAGTTTTCATGTGCATTTCAAGTAAATAGTGTTAACAGTATTATCTGTGCTGTTGTTATTAAGCTTCTTCCAAAAAAACCCAAATGATAGTATCAGCATGTGTATCTTCAATAAAATATTTTTCCCTCTTTTCTAGATATAGTATCTCAGTTTGGAATGGAAACAGTTATCTTGTATACAGCACTGATGTTAAAGAAGAGAATTGTAGTGTACCATCCTAGAATAGAAGCTATTCAGGAGTTTACCAGGTACTTTATCAATCCCTACCCACCCCCAAAAGTCCAACAAAGCTGAACCTTCTTTGACATAAATGCCCATATTTTAGGGAGAAAAGCTTTCTTAAACCTCTTTATTGGAATCCTGATAAATCCCTCTTAAGGATTTAGCCACGTGTTTGTCAACTGTAGAATGAGCAATAAGCTCTGCTTGCACTGATAGTAGAAATCTTTGTAGTGTATCTGCATGCCAAATGAGACCTAACCAGACTAGTTCTTTCTTATGACGTGCATTAATACTGTGAAACTTTTATTCATGTAAGTATCTACTGTGTGTCAAATGCCAATCTAATTTCCCCAGGACTTTGCCAGCTTTAGTGTGGCATCGGCAAGACTGGTCAATTCTTCATTCATATGTGCATCTAAATGAGGAGGAAGTGGAAGCCTTAAAAGCCTGCACAGGTGGGGATAATCTATTTAGCAAAAAATAAAACTTAATGCAGTTTCTGTTTCTGCAAGTTCTTGCACCAGTGCTCTTTGGGTGGGGAAATATAGTTACTTTGCTATTAACACTTGTTCCAAATTAAACATCATCATTTTCTTTAGGAAAGGCAAATGGACTAAGCAGGTATGTTAGAAGATGAGTAGTTAATCTGGTGTTTCTTGTTGGATCCGCATCAGTCCACTCCTAATCACAGGTGCAAAGCAGCTTTGAGACTTTCTGATGTTGTGATCAGAGGGATTGAATGTCTCACTGCTGTACAGAAGCAGCTCGCCTTAGATAAGCTACTTTTCTACCCAGCTTCTATACAGAGCCAGTAACTGAATTTTAGGATTTTTCTTCCCTTTCCCCCCACCCAGTTCCTAACTCTGAAGTTCCAAATTTTTACTCTGATTGCTGCCAGTGAAGTGTCTGGCTCCTACTCACGGGTAGAATTGACCAGCTCTGTAGGAGTTTGATCTGTGTGACACATTGCTGTGTGTGCATAGTACTTACCACATAATCCAGGAAGAGGCCCTTGGTGTGTGCAAAGCATGACACATAATGTGACAATTAAGAGGCTTCTCTACACAGAATAATGGGCAAGAAGACTACTCATCTTCAGTATTTCTGCTGCATTACCAACAGTGCTTGTTTCAGCTCTTGAAACATCTTCCACAGAGAAAAGCTGCTCTAGGTTTGCTCCCCTGGCATGCTATAAATAAGAAAATCTGCTGGTTTTATTCCTTCCAATCTAATACTGATTTAGAGACAAGGAGCTCCAGAGTGGAGATTTCTCTTAAAGAGGAACTTCAGTGGCTTTTTCATTTGCAAATGAGTAATTTTAGTAGCAGGGTAGGAAGAGAGTTTAAAATGTCAAATCAATAACTTTTTTTATATTGCAGCTAGTGTTAGTTCAAGGCAATTTTGGAAGCTGATTTTTAAGCTTCTGCTGGACATGCTTGTTAAATGACTGATAATGTGAAGAGAGCAACCTCCTGGTTCAAAAAGTGTTGTGTCAAATACTCTCAGGACAGACTTTAGGACTGTGGTTTTCTGCAGTATCTTGGGTTTGGGTTTGTTTGTGAAGATCCTAATCTTGCCAAAATTCTGCTCTCTAGGTTACATTGCTGGGTTCACAGATTCTGAAGTGAACAGTAGACCGGACCTCTACGATGTGTATGTGAATCTGGCAGATAGCGAGATCACCATTTCCCCTGTAGTAAAAGGTTGGTTGCTTTTTATAGTTTAGATTTAGAGGCCTTTTATTCCAGAGTTGATAGTAATTGCTTAATCTCACTGCAGGACAAGCAGTCTTGATCCTTCTTCCATCCAGGTTCTGAAAAGTCAATATGTAAGTTCTGTCTTTCAGTTTTATTGACACCCTGGAAGACTGGTGAAGGTTGGAGTTTGGAAAGACATTCTTTGTCTTCCAACAAATGTACAGTTGAGATTTCAGAACATCCATGGTAAACAGTTACATGGAGGAGACATTGAGCTGAGTACAGAGATATAACCTAAGGTTTTAGAATAACACTGTATTAAATACTTGGAGATTGGGGATGATTTGAAAGCAAAACTTGTATGTTGCTTGTCATCCTGCTGGTCCTCATCATCTGCTTAGGGCCACTTTAGACGTAGACAACTTGTCTGTGCTGGCATAGCTGCTGATACATCAGTTACTGCCTTTACTGTTAGATTTCAAACATCAGTCATGAAGAGGACTCCTTATTTTGGCTTGTTACTTATATGCATTTCTAGATAGCACAGAAATGGTGATTTTGTATAAATGTGTGCTTTGTTATTTTCCTTACTCAGAGGCAATGACGATGGGAAAACTTCACAAAGAAATTGGACAACTAATTGTTCAGTCTGCAGAAGACCCAGAAAAGTCAGACAGTCAAGTCATTAAGGTTAATATTTGATTTTTAAACCTAGTTAAGTTACTGCCATTGCTAAATTTTGGTGAAAGGAGGCAGATTGTCCCTGAGAATCAATTTCTCCTACCCTCTGCCTTTGTACAAATGAGCATTTTTATGCTGCTTCATGTAAGTTCTTAAGGATGACTTGCTATATGTTATCTCTTGGATAACTACATTGCTGAAGAAACTTCAGCAATTGTATTTTTATAAGACTTCCATTAAAATTAGATTCCCAGGTTTGTCCTACAAAGCATGTATTTTGCTCAGTACCTTGCTAATAGCATTGTCAATACCTTTGAAAAAGTCCTACTGAGATACAGCTTCTCAGCTGTAAAGCCTGATTTTTATGATACATCCAATATCTAATAGATTATTAGACATTCACAACTGAGTAGCTTAATCAAAAGAGCTCAGTTAGACCAGAGAGAGGAGCCTGCAGAGAGGCTGTGCTCCCTTTATTCAGCATCACACACAGAGCTGTTGCAAGTTTGCCTTAAAATAAATGGGCTCTGTGTTTAAAATTCACTGTTTATTTATCTATCATTATTTTCTTTTTAATCTGTATTGATTTTATTGAGGTTTTGGTTTTTAAGAAGTGTATGTTAAAACATTAGAATTCCTAACACCATTGCTTGTTTTTCTGCTTTTCAAGGATATTTCTCTGAAGACGAAAGAAATCCTGGCTACTTTAGCCTCACTTACTGAAGCTTCTGATGGTAATGAAAAACCAACACTGAACTCTGAGGCTCTGAAACAAAAGCGATTTCCACCAGCTACTGAAAACTTCCTTTTTCATCTAGCAGCTGCTGAACAAATGCTCAAAATCTGATTTTTGCTGTGCTGCAGTCTTATGGACCAATTCTAAAATACTTTGCCATACAGATAGGTATACCTGATATTTTATATGGAAAAACTAAAGGTGTAAGAGTGAAGTCAGATTTACCATGATAATGCAAAATATTGGAGCTTGACTGGGAACATATGGAGGCATATTCCTGGTGGTGTTCTCTTTCCCAAGTATAATTTTGTATATATGGCTCCTGTATTCCGTATCAGAACATGAGTGTATATACAAGTGACATGGGCCTGTGTGTCCAGGCTGTGCCAGACATGATTATAGTGGCTGTTTGTCCTGCAGGTTTCAGATGTCAGACAGCTCTGACTCCTCTTCCTGGGGTCTGGAACACAGGCTGCAGGTGTAAAACCAGTGCAGTTTGGGTGTGCTGGTCTCTGCACAGTGATACATTGAGCGTGCAGTTGGTCCAAGTGTTCATTCTGGGCTTCCAGGTATGTAAGCCTGTCAGATTCTGCTCTTTCTCTGGACTGCCTGGTAACCTGGAAATCCCAAATAAATGGATGAGTTCTCTTGTTTCTACTTGAAAGTGTCTAGGTGTAAAAAAGGATGCTTGGGAAAATCTGATCTGGTTGCTTTAGTATATAAAGGAAGAGGTATTTTAAAGCTCAGGTGGGAGTCGTGCACCTCTTTAAAACTCTTGCCTTAGAGTTTTTCCTCCCTTTCAGTCTGTCTCATGCTTCTAATGGAGAGAAAAAGAGGACAGGATGACTGTATTTAACATGGGACTTCCTTGGGGGGGTCACAGACAAGCACAGCTTTACAGCTGGAGTCATGCAAGAAGTTGGTGTTCTCAGCTGAGAAGATACCTGGCCGCTCATCCCTGATCCATTTGACAGAAAGCCAGATGAGCTGAAGCCTCATGGACTAGTGATGTTCAAATGGCCAGGTACCACGAGTAGAACATCAGACTGCTTGAGCTGTAACACAGGTACTATCTGATGGTGCTTTGTGTAGACTAAATCCAGATGGAAACTTCGGAAGTAATAGTGAAAACTGGAAAATAGTTCAGAGGGAATTAGAATTTGCCTACTTGTTTGGTTGCATAGCCATAACTCCAGAGATTTTTATTGTTCTTTCATTGAGCAGCCTGAAACTAACTGTTTTGTAATCTTCTGAGAACAACTTAGAGCCTTTGTA